CCTTCCCTGTCTCCCTAGGCTGTTATGTAGCAAAATGCAAGATTTGAGCCAGCCAGCAAGCAAGGGAACCTAACTCAGTAGCCAGTGATTCAGGCTATCACTGTGGGGAAGGGGAGGCTGAGTTCAAGTCCTTGCTCCTAACACTATTTATGTCTTTTATCCAATCACTTTTTAATACAAAATGCATAAGCAGACCCAAACCTTCTCTCCTCTTTTCATATATATGTCCTTATCTCATGTTCATTCTTATTCTCTTTTTCTGGTCCCGTGAATCTTGCATTTGTTTCTGCGTAGTGATAGAGCTTCAGTAGAGGCCAGAGAAAGCTGCTTGTTCCTTCATCCTAGTCTCTAGCCTGGTGCCTACAGCACTCTCTTGGGAGGTAGGGCATGTGGATTTGAAGCTCCTTTGACTGAGGAAATCCTATACACTGTATTATGTATAAGGTGGACAATGGTAGGTCTTCCTTTATCTGAGCTGTTTTTCGTGAGAGTGGCTATTGCCCCTGTGTTTTATGCTTAACTCTGCTCACTACTGCTCCTTACTGAACCCTCTTATTCTAATGCTTTTTGGATGCAAAAGCATCCCTGTGGAATTTCCACTGACTCTTATAAGAGCTTTGTTTGTGCAGAATTGCTACATGGTCAGTACCCAGAACTGTACTAAAGAAGACATTTGAACGGTATTATACTGACTGCCAGAGGAATGAACTAAATGAATTTAGAGTGGGTTTCCACCTGTAACATTATACATTTATGATACTTTTGGCAAATCAAGCCTCCAACTCTTTTGAATATTATTTTCCATCGTTTTTAGAACCAAAACATGAAGAAGAGACTGAGATACAGGATCCAGGTACAGATGATATTGATACAACAGGTACATGTTGAAAGATGCCTCAATTTAGACAAATGTTTAAAAAAGTTAAGACTGAGTAAATTGTAATTTAATTGAGATGTAGTTAATACAAATAATTTAACATTAGGTAATTCTTAGGTAAGGCAGTGCAAATGATCATAATTCCAGTTTATCATCTTAGGTATATTATGGAGTATTCAAAAGTTGAATCATGCTATTACTATATATAAAACAGCATTAATTTTTTAACTATGTATTAAGATGGTTTTGGCAGGTGGGGTTCCTTGAGGCAGTTAGCACACTAATTTAATATGGCCTCTTTTCACCTCTTGGTTGTGTGTTGACCTCTGCTTCAAACTGAGTGTATATTGTCAGCAGTTAAGCAAGGAGCATCCTGCAGAAGATGCATTCACATTTTAGAAACTACCAAATTGACTACTTTGACTTGTTGCTCTTTTTAGATTCTATGTTGTTCTGGAATATCGCCTAATTAAATAACAATCTACAGATGAAAAGATACAACTGAAAGTCTGTTTGTTTTGGTTTCACTTAACATTATAAAATAGCAAACCAAGATATACCATTAGATTGAGGAACTGGCTGTCTTGCATGCCATAAAATTAGCAAGATTCAGAAAGCAATTGGGCTTATATCTGGATAACAAGGCTACCTAAGAATTCTAATAGCCTACCAGAAAGCAATTGGGCTTATATCTGGATAACAAGGCTACCTAAGAATTCTAATAATGGTAACAAATATTAGAACAGATTTTAAGCTTCATATTTTTGTATTTAAACCAGTCTGTAACTGTAAAGAGACTGAGACAATCTAAAGTTGTGGTCAGGGTATCCCACACTTACCAAAAATAACCTTCCTTTTTTCTTTGTTTGACCCCGTGGCTCTAACCACTGATGAGAATGGGATATTGAATTTAATGGACTGTTGATATGATTTCATCTGGCAATTCCTATCCTCACATTAAAATACTGTGTAAGAAACCCTATAGACATAAATGAGGAGAAAAAAAAGTGGTTGGAGCTATGATAAGTCAGGTACAAAGGAAAGAGAAAGAAAGTAAAGAGGAAGCTAAGTTTGTCTTCTAGGTTATTAAATCTAATGCTGCATTTTATGTTATCGTCCAGTTTAAACAACCTCCCCCTCCCCCCCCCAAAAAAACCCAAACCAAACCCTGTTCTTTAAATGTTTTTCATATTGTCACTCTTTAACAAATAATTGAAAGATAAGCTTTTTACCCCTTTAGTGTATGCAGAATCAGAGACTGCAGAAAAAGAATACATTACAGGTAACTCACTTCAGCATACTGACTTTCCTCAATTGCTTTACTGTGTACTGCATTAAAAGAATAAATACTTTTTAAGTAAGGTCTTCAGTGGGGCTAGGAGTGGAGAAGAGTCTGCTCCTTCTCTTCCTTTAAGTCTCTCTCTCTCTCTCTCTCTCTCTCTCAATCTTTTTCGGCCAGCCTGGAACGAAATAGATTAAAAAAGGGGTGAACTGCCGTTTGTGTGTCCAAATGTGTGCAATAATTAACAAGGTTCCATTCTATTTACAAACTCATTTATGCCAGGAATATTATAAATAAAGTGTCTTGATCCTACTTCTGCTAGAGTTTTTCAGTTAACTTAAAATGTCAATCTGAGAATCTTTGAGGGTATGTTTCACAATGAATATTTACTGTATTTACTTGAATACAAGTTAAATCCCTCCCTGCCCCAATCATCGTGCAGGGAAAAGCCATATCGGGCAACTTAACATTAGAATAGGTTAGTGTAGACCGCCTGAATAAGATATATGGTAGTGCCCACTTTGCACAGTCACCCCTTCCCCGCCCCCAATGCCAACTCTTTCTCAAGTCATGGTGAGCCATGAATACATTTTGATTACCTCTTCACTCCCATAGCTTAGCTGCGGCTTTCTTTCCCATTTCCAGTAGTCCTGTTTATTTACCAGCTTTAAGTACCTGGCAAATGGAGCCCCAAACAGTTCACCCAGAATCGATCTGTTGCCCCCTTCCTCAGTCCACATTCCATGAGGTGGAGTCAGACCAGGTTGTCTTGCCCCTCATCTGAGTATACATTTATGAAGGATCCCAGGACTCATGACAAGAACATGAGTTGCATTTAGTTTTTCTCTTCAGCATCTGCTGTCTGCCGGGGGGTTGCATAGATTTCAGCCTACAGGAGGGGCTGCGTTGCAAGCAGTGGCCTGCAGCAGCAAAAGGTTGCCAATCTCTGTTATAATGCTTATGGATGCATTTAAAATTTGAAGTGGAAATTTTGGAGATGCTTTGACTTAAGTTGCCTGCAAATGAATGGACAGTTCAGTGGCTCAAAAGAAGCCCTCCAGTTGTATGTTCCTAATAAGATATATACTTATAGATGGAATGTTCTTTTTCATCATAAAAGGATATATTTTTAGACTATTTATATTTTATGAACAGTTCTTTTGACCTTTAACTTTGATAATGGACATGTATCTCTAAAAATAAACTTCTGTTCCTGCTTTTATACATCCAACAGGAATGGCTGATGTGGAAGATGAAAGTAAGTGTATTCAGCTGTGGGTATCTCTAAAAGGAAGCTTTAAAGACTGTTTTTTAACAAATTACTTTATTTCCATAATATAACTATCTATTTGTTTAAAATATACCTGCTTAAAATAACTTAATCTGTTGCTTGTTGTAGTTTAAAGTGAATTCTAGTGGGGAAAGTTTGAAAACAAAAAAATTCTTCCAGGTATACCGAAGTAGCAAATGTTTATTCTTAACATTTTTACTGCTTACAGTAAAATTGTTAATAGTTTATAGATCTCAGATCTCTGGAGTAGAATATGAAATGTACTGTTATTCAAACTTACCTCTGTTCTGTCTGTTCATTAACCGTTTTATGCTTCATTCGCATCAGTATTTTAGGATTTGACTCAATTAATTATCTTTAAATCTCTGAGTTTTAGGCCCCTGTGCAGAAAGCATCAGCTGTTGAGCTTCCTGCACACCTGGACCTAAAGCTGTGGTGTAGCTCAATGCCAAACATGCCACACATTAACTGTTTATATTGAGCTTTAATTTGAATGTGGAACATCTTTGGAGGTGATTGGCTATTTTATTGTGCCATAAATTGATCGAACATGTGGCATGTTACAATTTATCATGCAATTAACACATTAGTTATGTGGTAAATATAATATCTGCCCTAGCCCTTAGTTTCCACTCATGCCATAAGACCTGTTTGCAAGTAGTGGTTGCACATCTTTAAATTTGAGGCATATACTAAAACAAGAGAATTGAAAACTGATAGTTGTAAATCAACATAAATATCCAGTGTCAACAGAAGATGCTTCCTGTTAAACATCCATTTAATTTGGTGTATTTGTTAAAACTAGTTTCCATTAATTAATTCAAGTCTTAGATTTTCCTTCTTCAAAACATATTTTGCCTAGTGCAGGGCTGTCCAGCTTCTAAGTGGCTGGGGGCCACGTGGCCCACTGGCTGCACCAGTGAGGGTTGCAGTGCTGCAGATGCTCTGGCTTGCATCCTCAGCTCCCTGTCAGTGGGTTCCCCTCTTTTGCTGTGCTGCGCTGCACTGTACTGCACTATAAGGAGCACCTTAGGCCCTGCCAGTACTGTCATTTGTAGTCACTGCTGTAAATTTTGTATCTTAACTACAGGGGCCCTTCCGGAGCCAGTAAATGAAGCTACAGAGCCAGGTATGTTTTTGAAACTGTAGCTTTAAAGCACATAAATATACCTGTTTGGAGTAGTTAACACTAAAGCTGTTTAATTATATTTTTGTGAATCTTGCATTGTAGGTGAAATTCCTGAAGATGTGGAAATAAATGAAAAGCCATTAGGTATGAGTGTTTACTTTTTTTTTTAATCGGTTTTGCAAAGGACTGTTTAATTTTTCATGCAGCATGTACAACAAATATTTGATACTTTAATTCTACAAAGACAGATTCTTGTTTCTTTACCTATGCAAAATTATATAGGTTTCTCATTCTGAAGACTGCTTGAAAAGACTTGGTTAAAAAAAATCCATTTGTATCTTTGTCTTTAATGTCACCAGGAACCATTGCAATTTAAGAAGGTTTTGAATCAAACATAATACAAAGCAGTGTTCCAAAAAGGGCAAGTTAATGTCTATCAGTTCATAACAAAAAACATCTTTCAAGCCTTACTGGGTGTGTCTCTAGAATAATAGATAATACTATGCTGTGATGGTACTGCCTGACAATTCCCTGAACCAGAAATAGTATAGCTGCCTTGCTGTGGTGCAATGCATACACCTATCACTTCTGCATTAAAGTAGCTATACTACTTCAATTTTAAGTGATGGCATGTATGGAGCAAGTGTAGGATGTTTCTCTATAACCACTTCTTGGTTCAGGCAATACTTCAAAAGAACTGAATGACAATTTTGTCTGAGGATTTGTTCCTATATGAATCATAACATTTGTTCTGAAAATTCTTGTTTTAATCTAGCTATTTATACTGTTGATATTTTACTGTGAAATATTTTTGCTTCTTTAATATGTGGTTCATTCTGTAATGGAAATACATTAAACTTGCATGTAGTAATTTGTTGCACTTGGCTAGTGTTTTATTGACCAGTTAGTTTGTCTATATTTAACTCTTGCATATTTTCTGATACTGAATGTTGGGAGAGGAACAAATTCAAACATATACTGAATATAACCTTTTAAATTTCCTTCAAACAGAAGTAAAGCATACAGAAGACCAAGTGGTTGCTGAACCTCATGAAACAGGTTTGTATAGTGTCTTTTTGCTCTGAATCTCTGTGCTTCTATTTTTTAATTAATGTGAAATGACACATTATTGCTTCTATTTTTTAAATATTTTACATAATATGACAATTAGACTCCTGGCAGATACTCATGTAACTGTGCCATGGGACCTGGAATGATTCTGGGATTGGGGATTGTGCAGGCCGGGAGCGATCCGGGCCCTTTTTGTGCCATTCTTAGGCAGAATGGTAAGTGCATACTGTACAATTTTTGGTTTCAGTGGAGAATAGTGTAAAGCGCTTGAGATGCTCATGGGTAATATGGGCAGTTTTTTAAATGGGGAAAATGGATTTGCCAGATCCCATTTACTTCAACATTAAAAGCACCATTTAAACTGGATTAATTGTGCTAGCTCAGAGGTGCTCAACCCTTGGCCCACAAGCCAAATCTGGCCCACCGAACCTTGGTATCCAGCCTGCAGGGATCCCCAGGGGTCAGAAGATTTGATGGCAGGGAAGTGGTGGAATCTCTGGCTAGATCCAGCAGTGCCCAGGCCATTGCAGCACAGCAGAATCAGGACAGGGCCAGTCCACCTGCACCACCAGATCAGGGCTGGGCTGCTCCCCCTTTCCTGCCACCATGCACATGCAGATTGGGATCAGGCTGCTCTACACCTGTCCCTGCACTTGTCCACCCCATTCTTACCCAACTGCTGTTGCTGGATTGGAGCCACCCTGTTCCACCCCTGCCCCACCCACTACAGCTGGATCACATGCCCCCTGCCCCATCTGCATGTCCAGATCAGGGCCAGGCTCCCCTCTACCTTCCCCCTCCGCCCCGCCCCCACATGGCCAATTGAGCCAGGCTGTACCCCTCCTCCTCCTCCTCCTCCTCCTCCTCCTTCTGGGGAGGGGTTGGATCCCGGCTGTACCTGCCCCGCTTGCTGGATCAAACCCACTGGCACTGCCTATCTGGCTCACAAGGTGAAAAATTGGAGCACCACTTTGCTAGCTAATTCATAAATAAGTAGTGTACTTGGCTGTTCACACCTTATTGCGGATTGTTACTTTGTTATTCAGAGCCTGTTATGCTCCTGGACTTTCCTACCTCATTTTGAAACTGTTTTGCTTCTAAATGATTTGTGGTCTGTTTATAAACAATACTTTTTATCTTGTGAATTGTTAATGTGAGAATCAGAATCCCTCAATTAATTATATTCTAACCAGGCTTTTGGAGTCTTTTCAGTTGATTTTGAGCAACAGAAATTTTACAAAAAACAATAAATAAAATGTTTTCATTTTTAAATGTCTGCCAACTTCTGATTTACAGAAATTCCTGTTCAAGCAGAAGATTTCCTACGTGATGATCTAGTAGGTAAGTTAATTTTAAATGTTTTAATTTATTGGAAAAAAAATAACCCTTCACAGTTAGCTGGAAAGTTTAGATAAAAATCTTTAAAAAAACACAACAAAAAAACAAAACAGAAATTCATGCATTAGTAAGGCTGGAAGGGACCTCAAGAGACCATCTAGTTGAACCTGCAACCTTGGTATTATTAGCACCACTCTATAACCAACTGAGCTGAAGAACCAGTATTTGAACATTATAATTGGAAGTTGTGTTTGAAGTAATAGGCTTAATTAACAATGTCAGCTACAAAATAGCACTTTTAAATGCATTTTTTTAAACGTTTTGAATCAAATTTTAAATGAATCATGACAAAATGTCAAAAATGGATAATAGGTTATTTTGCTGCTGAATTGGTGAAAGAAAAAAGGAAATACTTTGTCTCAATTTGCCAATTGCACCCTGATAGCTTGTTTGAATTCTTGCTGGAAATGATACGAATCACTTCTATAGTAATCAAAATATGGGTCATGTTAACTTTTATATCCAACACTTTATTTATTTCAGTTACTAGGAGTAGGTCTGGGACAGAGACTTTTTCTCCCTGATGCATTAACTGTGTGTATTTATTTTTTTACATAAACCGGATATCCACAATATTTACAGTTCTCCCAAATGAACAGTGAAATAGTGTTTGCCAGTTCAGTGCTCAGAACTAATACTTTCTAAGATTGGCATCTTCAAACAAGAACAAGGGTCTCTTATCTTCCTCATGTTTTAAAAATATATTTCCCTAC